AAAAGAACGATTTTGTATAAAGCAAGAAGTCGAAAAAACTTCAGCCTAGAAGTATTGAGGCTGTTGTGACATGTTCACAGATGGTTTGGATGTTGAATGAAGGATCCGAATCGAGTTCTTTCCTGAGAACACAATCACAAAAGAATCGTTAGACGAAGGCCGGGTGTTCTCTTGGGACGTTACTTCGACGATCAAGTTAGTATTTAATGAGAGAGTCAATTTTAGGGTAAAGTTTTTGAGAGAGAGGATGGATCCCTCCCTCGAGATGGAAGAGATCCTTTTGTACATGTTACTAACGGATCGTGTGGACCGTGCCTCGTGAGCATGAAACGTGGCCTCCTCTCACCAGGAGAGCTATCCACGCTAACTAACTATCAGGTGACGTCACTTATGGGCGTCACCTGGGCTATTTGTTACCTTCTCATTGGTTGTGAGTGAATAAGAAGACCACATAGAATGTTCTTACCGTGTGATGAGAAATAAGTTGCAGCCTTGACCTTGGCTCACTTCGGCCAAGACCGGGTCTTTGCTAAGGTAGTAATGTTTCTGTTACATTTAACATGTTCGTTAGGTAACATTAACAAGTCCCTTAGACTAGTAGGATTTTGTGTTCGTTACGTAGCGGAGTTGTTCTGGTCTATTCACAGATACGTGCGGACTGCTATTGACAGCTTATGCTGGTGGCATGGCGAATTTGTCGTTGATCGGCGGTTTCATCATAAAGACGGTTCGCTGCCCCTTTCTTTGTGTTTAAATTTCCGCCTTCCCTGGCACATCTTCCTCACCTTCTACCTTACTTCGTTTACATTTCTTTTAGAAAGAAAACTTTTCGTTTCTTCCTCTAAATCCTTCCATGGCTACTTCTCGCACTTTGGGAAGGAATTTCACTGACGAAGAGTAGGAATCTTTCCAATTCCGGTTAAGGTTTGTTTTTGAACATGGGGTGTAGATCCCTTTTTCTTATGCTTCTTTGTACAATCCTCATGAGGGTAAATTCAGGATCTCAATCGCCCTGTTCGAGGCGGGTTTGCACTTGCTTACCACTAATTTCTTCAACTTGATCATTCAGGAGTACGGGTTTTCAGTAAGAGAGTTGACCCCTATCACTATATACAAGATAGTAGGCCTTGAACTCCTTTGTTGTTATTTGGGCCGCTTGCCGACCGTTCCTGCTTTCAAGCACTTTTTTAATGCCTCTACCCAGTCAGGGATCCAAACCCGTTCCCGCCGACGGGGAGTCCCTATTCTTATCCAAAATAAGAAATCAAAGAAAATTTGGAAATATAAATTCTTATGGGTGAACAAATATCTCATGGTACTCAGTTATCCAAGGAATAAGGTGTACGTCGATCATGCCCCTGTGTTGTTTGGCGCTGACTAGGAGCTGGTTGATGCCTTGGAGAAAATTAGCATCACCAGTGAAGATTAGCTTCACTGGTTTTTGACCGCTGGCGGGATAAGTGCTGCTTGGAGAGCTCGTGGGAATATCCATGAATTCTTTGTTGAGAAAGAGGGAATTTATTTTACTTTTCCTCCCCCCCCTCCCCCCTTTATATGAAAGGATTAGCAAGTTATGTTCAAAACGGTGCTTTGGATAAACCGACATTGTTTCTTGTTTTTACCAGGTGTAGAGGAGACTGTTTCTGTAGAGAAAGATCTTTGGGGTCTGTTTGATGGTGAGCTTTAGGTTTGTGATGTTGACCTGGTGAAGGCTCTTCCACCTCCTTTTTTTGGCCAATAGCTTACGACGACTGCCGATTCTGACGGTGCTATCGATGCTAGTGAGGATCTAGACCTATAGGATGTTATCGTCATTGGTACTCCTTAGAAGAATCCTATACCATCTGGGTCCCCAAGGAGTCTTCACCGAGTTAAGAGGCCTTTTGCACTCTTGGAAGCTTCTTCTAGCGGCCAAGCTGAGGCAGCTAGCACCGAGCGCCCTCTACGTAAGAAACATAATTTGAGTCTCTTACTTGGGGGTTCTAAAGATTCCAATCGTGCCCCCGATGTAGGTCCTCTGAAACTGCTGGAGGGGCACAAATCGGGGCGATTGAACTGCCCCATCATACAGGAGAAGGAAGCACCGAGAAAACTAGCCCTAATCCCAAAATCGAAGGAATTAGGATAAAAACTTAGTCTTCGCCTCCTGACGGTTTGCCTCCATCTCTTTGGGTAAGAACACAACCACCCCTGCTAATGGGCTCTCATGGGGATGCTTATAAGCCAGCTTGGGGACTAACTGCCCAGGATCTTGTCTCCGATCATGACATCGCTCTCGATTGGTGTCAGCACGCATTTCCTCCTACCATGACTAAGGCCCTACGTGTCTTGTATGATGAGCATATGGTTGATAGCTTGCGTTATTCTATTGCCCAAGTGTCATCTTATTTAGTTACAGTTGCCAAACGTATCTCTGAGATAGAGGCCCTCTAGTCCGATTTGGACAGGAGGGGTGTTGAATGTGAAGAATTGAAGGTCGATAAGAGCGACTTGAGGGAAAGGCAGGAGGTGGTGTTACTTGAGAGGGCAAGTTTGGCAGATTAGGCAGCGAAACTAGGGGAAGAGGTAAAGGACCTAAACGATCATGTGGGGGTCTTTTCTTTGGAGAACACCAGTCTGAGCAAGCAGGTGGTGGAGCTAGAGGTTGATCTGGTAACCGAAAATGTTGTAAAGGGAGTGTTGGAGAGGGATATTCCTTGGATCCTTAGTGATGGTCTCGGTCGGATTGTGGATAGGTTGATTGAAAGTCCACAATTCCTCTAGGGATTGGTTCTTGTGAAATAAGCTTGTATTGCTGTAGGTATGGAGCAGGGTAAGAAGATAGTCTGGGAGCAAGTGTCCGCCTAGGAGGTCAACCCGAAGTCGGAGGAGAATGTGGCGGCTAAGACTCAAGAGATAAAAGACGCCCTAGTGACTTTTACGAAGACGAAAATTTCTGGCTATCTTCGCTTGGGCGCCCTGGATGTGGTTGGGCTTCGAAATCTCCGCTAGGAGTCTCGAAATGAGGAATCTTCCCCCGGTGATGATAACACCTCTGTTGTTAAGTAGGTTTTTTTTGTTTGGCTTGCTTTGATGTAACTTTTTTGAACAATTTTCTCTATTTCTTGCTTTATATTTTGTGTTTAGTGCCCCATGGGGCAACTTGAAAGTCCAGGAGTCCAACGATGTTGATAATATTTAATTTGTATCTGTGGGTATGAATGCTTGCTATTACCACACATATTCTCTTATTTGCTTCATGTATGGCTTGTGTTGGCCTTTACATGGTATTTTCTCAGGGTTTGCTTACACCCCTGGTAAGAATTCTCTTGCTAGTGAATTCTTTTTGCTTTACTAAAGCTGGTCTTTGAGAGATTTGTTCTAATATGCTACTTAAAGACCCGGGGTGTAGCTAAGATCGTGATCTTAAGGCACACCTAATTTTGTGTACTTTTTTTTTGCTTCATGTATGGTTTATGTTGGCCATTACATGGTATTTACTCAGGGTTTGCTTACACCCTTGGTCAGAGTTCTCTTGCTAGTGAACTATTTTTACTTTACTGAAGCTGATCTTTTAAAAATTTGTTCTAATATGATGCTTAAAGACCCGGGGTGTAGCCAAGATCGTTATCTTGAGGCTCACCCAATTTTGTTTACTTTTATTCGTGGAAGGTTATGACCCTTTGACACTCATGTCACATGTTCTTTAATTGATGAAAATGTTTTAGGAGGAAGGTTATGAACCTTTCTAATATAAACTCCCTGGCTGCCTCCTTGTAACGATTTCGCTCATGTGACGTTGGATGAGCAGTCATTGTTGTTACATGGTAAACGTACACAGCCTCTTTAGATTTGGATATAAGGAGCATTTGAATTGCCATTTCTTATTAACTCTAGTTTTCCTTAGAGCGAGATATCGACTGAAAATAATAAAGAAATTTATGCCGATTACATTTACATACTAAAATGAACACACAATGCGTTAGCTAGCATTGGGGCTACCTTTAGCGCTTGTTTTAAGAGTAGAAGTGGTGCAGGCTCTGTGCATTCCACGTGCTTGGAATGGCATGCCCATCTTGAGCTTTTAGAATATAGGCACCCATCCTTATGTGCCACTATGACTTTATATGTGCTACCTTTCATTTCTCATCAATCATATCCAGGTTTTGGCGTCTCTCTTCCTTGTTGGCTACTTCCTTGAAACTCCCTGTCCGTAAGGAGCCATCAATTATTTCTAATAGGAGGACCGCTTCCTCCCCATACGTTAGACTGAAAGGAATTTCCCTCATGCTTGACCTTGTTGTGGTACGATAGGACCATAACGCTGTCGGGAGCTCATCCACGCAAGCAAACTTTGATCTAAGTAGTTATTTCTCTAAAACATTGACTATAGTTTTGTTGGATATTTCTGTCTGTCCGTTGGCATAAGGATGAGCTACTGAAGTGAACTGGCGATGGATTTTCTTGTCTTCACACCATTCCTTGAAGGGACTTCCTTCTAACTGGGTGTCATTATCAATTATGAGGATCCTAGGGGTTCCAAAGTGAGCCAAGATGTTATTTTTCATGAACTGTATCATCGACTTGCCAGAGACAGTGGCCAGTGGGTCTGTCTCTATCCACTTGGTGAAATAGTCCACAACTACCAGTAAAAACTTTATGCCTCCCAGCGCCAGCAGGAATGGTCCCACTATATTGACCCCCTATTGGTGGAAGGGCCAGGGGCTAGTGATGCTAGTCAATGGCATGACTAGTTGGTTTTGGCAAGGTTTGAATGCTTGGCATTCCTTTCACTTCTTGGTTAAGGCTGCTTCGTGGTTGTATACATCCGACCTGTATACTCCTAAGCAGAGTATCTTTCATGTGAGTGCGTGAGTGCCTTCATATGCTATTGTGTCCCTAGAATGGCTTTCTTTGAGAAACTTCTACCCCTCTATCTTAGAGATGAACGTAAGCCATGGGCTTAAATATCCTCTCCGGTACAACTGGTTATCCCTTATGGCGAAATGTGGTGCTTTGATTTAGACTTTCCTCGCCTCCAGTGGATCGTCTGGAAGCATGCCATGGTGCAGGTAATCGACGAATGGTTTTGTCCATTCTGGAGGAGTTGATATGGTATTAACCGTTTGGTTATCAATACTCCTTTCGGGGAGTACTTTGACCAACACTTTCTTTGTGAGATGATCGTGTGAGGTAGATGCCAGCTTGCTAAGGGCGTTTGTCCTTGCATTTTTCCCCCAAAAATATTTGTTGTATTGAAAAACATTTGAACGTTCTGGCTAAACTACGGGCCGTGTCTAGGTATTTCTACATCCTAGGCTCCTTTACCTCGTATACTCCGTTGATTTGGTTTGTAACAAGCATCGAGTAACTGAGAGTTTCTAGTTGTTTTGCACCGACCTCCTTGGCTAGCCTTACTCTTGCAAGGAGTGCCTTGTACACTGCTTCGTTGTTAGATGCTTGAAATTCAAACCACAATGTGTAGGTGATCTCTTCGCCTCACTACTAGAAAAATAGCCTTTTACGACGCTCATTGCGCGTCGTAAAAGGCTCAGACGACGCGCAAATGCGCATCAAGGAAGGCCCTGTCATAAAGAGAGATGACGCGCTTTTGCGCGTCATCTATAGACGACGCGCATTTACGACGCGCAATTACGACGCGCATTTACGACACGCAATGCGTATCAATGAAGGCCCTGTCATAAAGGAAGACGACACGCATTCGTGTGTCGTAAACTTATGACGCGCGTGTTAATGACACACAATGCGCATCAAGAAAGCCCCTGTCAAGAAAGGCCAGGTCATAAATGAAGATGACACACATTTTTGCTTATCATAATTTTAAATGTTTAAAAAAATAATATTTATAGATTTATTTATTTTCAAATTAAATATGTATTTAATGTTTCATAATAGAAAATAAAATATCATATACAAAAAATAGAATCCATTGCATAAATTTAATGTCATACAAATAATCGTTCCATGGAAAGATAAAACAAATCAATAGAAGTTGTAACAAAAATTTAAAAACGAATTAGATACAAAAAAATACAATCCATTTCCCCTTTGCTTATTCAAGATCAACCTGCAAGTAGCTAACTAATCTGTACAAATTCACCCTTGTTTCTAATCTTTTTCTTAAATACGTTACAAACATAATTCATCCATAGTACTTGAACTATAGTTGCAGCCTTGTTTCTTCTTCTTCTGAACTCATCTCTTGCAACCATTACTCTAAGCCTAGTCTGAATAGATACAACAACTCCTTGTCAATTATGTGAAAAATACAACCGGAGAGTGGCCTACCTTCATAATAGCAACAACTAACGAAGCAGGAATGAAAGAGAAGGCAATACTCACAACAATAGCTGTAGTGAACGCATCTAGGTCCTACAAGATCATACAAATCACTATTTAAATACACACTACATATAAAGGTGGTAATATTCTGATTGCATGTACTTAGTATATAAAGACTCCAACAATAAATAGATATGTTATGTTACCTTGAGACAACTTTTAAGGGGATCCAAAAGATAATTACTATTTATTCTTATAACTCAAAGCATGTAGATAAAATTGTATTCCATAATACTTAGAATCTTTTTGTCGTGTAACTTCATAAAACAACAGTTATACACCCACCCACCATACTATTCATCAATCATCTAGTTCTTTTTTACTTAAATCCTAAATTTTTATAAATTGTTACCTCAAATATGATTTCATCTTTCTCCATAGGTGAACGAAGTTCTGTGTATATCTTTATATATCTTCTTAGAACCTATAAGTGTTGAACCTAATCAAAAACATGTAAACATTGAAGATGGAGAATTGAATTACAATTTACAAACCAATTTAGCAAACTTTCACCGGTGACTAAAGCTACTTTCCCGCTGATCTGTCAAAAAATGCTTCATCTCAAAGAGAATGAAGGGATCTCAAAAAGAATGAAGGGGTCTTTCACAATCTCAAAGAAAATTTTGGCCTTGTCTGTTCCATTCTTTTGTCATTCCATTCCATTCCATTCGAGTTTGAAAAGGAAAAATTAAATTCTTGATTAAAAAAAAGAGTATAGAAGTACCTTGTAAACAGGTCCAAAATCACCCTTCCTGAGCTTAGTAGCTTATTTGCAGGACTAAAGTCATTTGAAAGCTCACAACTACAACTGGAACCAAAATCCATATAATCAAACCAATATTACTCTTCTTGTTGTTAAAAGGTGGATTGTTGCTCACGGTAGGGACGGAATTTGTAAAACAAAAGTAAAGGGGGTTGTCTTTTCATTTTGTCAATCAAGAGCAAAAATTTAAGAAAAAAAAATTTCATGAAAGAATTTTACTTGGTGTAGCACTGATTTATGAGATAAAAGGTCCAAAATCTCCTTGAGTAGGTACACAAGTCCCTTTTCCAGTCCATAATAGATGAATCTCAAGGTAGTTATTTAAACCTCAACTATCACTTCCCTTGAAACATGACTAAATGAACCCCCCTGCTTCCCTTTTAATATTAAAATCTTGAAAAACCCGGTTTCCCTGAATAGTGCCCAATAACTTCAACTAATTCAGGTTCACTCCACTTTAAAGAAAGAAGTTGTTAAAGTAGACCTAAAGTTCATAGTAAATGGTGTGTTAAAAGATCTCAGAGTGTACAGACAGTAAAAAAGTATAAAAAAAGAACCTTCTAGAATTCTGCAAGAAGAAAGTTAACCATTATCGCCATCTAATGATTATAAAAAATCAAAAATTAGCATATTTTCCCCTTTATGGCCATACTTTTGGGTAGTTGCATGGTAGTCTCCAGATGTGAATTCTGGTGAGTCTTGCATGGTTGAACCATAGCCACTTTGCCCTTCTAACATAGAAGGTCCAGCTCCTTTGCTACTTGTAGCTGGAACTTGAAAAGATGACATTAAAATTTATTGAAGCATAATCTAATTCAACATTCTTAACTAATAATTTGATTCTGAACATTTTAATTTAGGTTGAATGTTTTGGATTCGAGTCTGTCATATCCATCTAATATAATGAAGAGGTGTGGATTCAATATAGGAGCAGCCCTCCTGGTCATACACGAACTACTACATCTAAATCAATTAACTACGTGAGAAGAGCACAAGAACCAAAATAAGTCAACAACACATTCAGAAATGAAAAAGATGTTCTGACTTGATATATACCTGCTATCACAACCACTTCGATTCCAGATATATACCTGCTCTCACAATTATCAGAGAATAAACTTAAGGATAATGAGCTGATGAAAGTTAGGGATAGTTAGGTAAATTCACAGGTATTTATATATACCTGTGAATTTCGCTGCCACTGGAAATAAAGGTGCTATTGACCCCACCAAAGCAAGAACGAATGACATATTTATGTTGCCTATGGCCCTTATATCTCATAGGTTTTTCCCATAACCCTTCAACATCCCACATATGAATCTCTTGTAAAAATTTATAAGCTCAAGTTTAGAGTAACTAAGGATGTATTCATCACATCCGGAAAACCCTAAGTATACAAACCTCATTCATTTTGTCTTTCATGCATTGGTCTGTTACACATTTTTAAAGTGGTAAAATTAAAAAAGCACTTTGGATAAGTCAAGAAGAAATAATACAGAAATCATGCAAGAAACATCATTACCTCTCTCTTTGTGGGATGCACGTTAACATCAACATGCTCGGGAGGCAAGATAAGTGACATATATATGAAAGGTTTTGATGCTTTGGGTAAAGTTGCAGCATAGATGATTTCAATTTCCCTCTTCAGAGCAGTACATTCGACTAATCCTTCTGTGAAAAAGTGAGGAAAAGTTAGGTTATAATAAGAACCAAAATATCAGGAAGAATGTCAATAAACTTGCACAAGTCAAAATTCAGAAGTTCAAGGGTGTCAATTATCACTCAACCACACTAAAGAAATAAGTGCTAGGGCATATTCACTTTTTTTTGTGTTACTTGTGTGTAGTTTCTCAAATTTAGAGGAGAAGGGTTTTGATGGTTTCTCAAAGTTGTGTGATACATAACACATACCATTGATGAAGAGAACCATGGTAGTCTTCTTTGTAGGGTAACTAGAGTTGGATATAAAGCCATCCATTTCAAAAACTGAAGTAGATGGATTAGCATCTGAAGGTAGCCTCTATCTTCATCAGACTGCGAGCAATTGAGACTCCATACATAGATATGATTGCATCCAACCTTGTAGACATAGCGACTGAGTGAACATCGGTTGCACCAGCTCCATGCTAAGAATCAGATAGTGGATATGTACAAGACATTAAAACCAATATTAAAAAATGTATGCAGTATGCCTCCCAAAATTATGGAACAAACAGTTATTAGTTTCAGATGCATGCAAAACAATTAGTTAAACTACTCACCCTTCAGCAGGAGAAGCTCACATTTTTATGATGAATGGCAAACCGACAAAGTAGGTCAACAATTTTTGGATAATCATCAGCAGAGTTCTGGAGAGTTTTCCTTCGTGCAATCATGTTATAAAATAAATTCTCAATCTGGTAAAAACACACACATCATCTAATCAAAAGGGGAGTAATGTCACATAATAACATAGATTTAGTAAGATCAAAATTCACCTGTCAATGAAGCTCATTACCATGGAATTCTCATTTTTTCGATTACTAATCACATATGAATGCCAAGTTGCGGAAAATGGAATGAAGCCATTAGGAATGTCAGTTGGGTTGCTCTGCATTAGCAGATATAATTTATTAGTAAAAGGAATCGATCAGCAAATGATTAGAAAAAAAGATTGAAATAGATAATTGATTGCCTGCATTGGTGTTAGGGCTTGTGTTCCCCTTGCTCTTATGCATTTTATACTTGATATTCCTCCCAAATCAATACATTCGTGAAGATACTTTGAAGCAACATTTCCACAGTGAACAGGCTGTGCAATAATTTAAAAAAAAAAGACTTGGTGAGCAAAAAAGATTATAAGTTCATGGAGATTTCAAGAATATCAGATTTGAGATTACCTTCTCACAGAATTTGCATTCCCCCTAACCGGGTTCGTTCAGGTGGAATCTTTCAAGAATATCAGAATTATGGATTCGCCATTGGAGCAATCGAAGTGCACATATACATGTTTTATGAAAAACCCTAAGTCATTGGTGTCTGAAAAAAGACTAGTCGATACCTTGTACCAAAAAACCCTAAATCGTTATGAGAGAGGAATGATGCCTGAATCACTTCGTTGAGAATCATCGAGAATAACACCGATCAAAACCCTAAATCTTCGAGGAGTTGCAGTCTCCATAAAATCCGCCGCACACAATAACAGATTCATGAAAGACGGATTCCATATGTTGATTAGGGCGGCATCAGATGGCAAGACGGTGATTCTCATGGAGAAATTTTATTTTGAGAACATGTTGAAGGCAGTGGAGATAGTATCATCGTCGTGCCGGCCTGAAGAGTCGGGGGTGGGTAAGGGGCGGAGACGATGGAGACATATATTAGAGAACAGATCGAAATGAATGTAGAAGAAGAAAGCGGTGTTTAAAATTTTTGGGGATTTCATTTTCCCTCTAGGAGGAAAAGAGAGACGCGCGTTTCTAAAAAAAATATATAAAACGACATTCATAGAAGACGCTCATTTTAGATAAAGCTCCCTCCATGTTTTTAATTTTTTTACATTAGACACTAATTTAAGGGCACGCAATAATGCGTGACCTAAATCCTTAAATTTTTTGAAGAGATAATACTTTTTCAATGTCACTCTCTTTTGCGTAACATAAATCACTGAGTGTCGTGGTTTGTGCGTCGTACAAGGTTCTTTTTCTTGTAGTGCCTTTGGGGCTTTGGAGGATCAATCCTGCACCTGATCCTTCTTTGCTTGCTGCGCCATCGGTGTACAACTTCCAAAGTTTTTTCCAACCTCAAGCTCTAGTGGGTCGACAGAGATTGTCGTTGGCAATCGCTTGATGGCATCTGGGATTTCAACCTAGAAGTCAGCAAGGGCATGGGCTTTGATGTTGGTTCTGGATAGGTATTGGATGTCATGTTCGCCTAACTCTATGGTCTACTTGGCTAGGTGTCCAGACTTTTCCGGCCTTAGCAACACTGGTTTTATTGGGTAACTGGTCATAACCTCCACCTTGTGGGCTTGAAAATATCTCCGTAGATGTCTAACTACGTAGACCAGGGCCATGTAATTTCCTTCAGGCCTCTAAGTGAATTGGGATTTGCTTGCCTTCCCTTTCCACTACTAACACAAAAGAGATAGCCTCCTCAGATGCTGCTAAGTAAATCTATAACATCTCTCCCGGGAGCGGGGAGGTGAGAGCTAGGAGTTGTTGCAGTGCATCTTTTAATTTTTGCAAGGCTATGTTCGATTCTACGATCCATTTGAATTGCTTTTTGTCTAAGCATCCTTTGAGTTTTTGGTACAAAGGAAGCGCCTTTTCTGTAGATTTGGAAATGAATCTTCTAAGCACCGTTAACCTACCGTTGATTTCCTATACTCCTTTAAGGTTGTGGGGACTTTTTGATTTGTGGAACTCTTGTAATTTGGTGGGATTGGGTAGAATCCCTTCCCTGGATACCTGATAACCATGGAATTGTCCCTCATCGACTCTGAAAGTACACTTAGCCGGATTTAACTTCATCTGCACTTTAGCTAGCGATTTGAAGGTTTCTTCCACATCTTGGAGTATCATCTCTTCGTTGTGGCTTTTAATTACCATATCGTCGACGTAGACTTCGATATTCTGACCAATCCGATTGGTGAATACGTTGTCCATCAATCTCTGGTAAGTAGCGCCAATATTTGGAGCCCAAATGACATTTTATCATAGCAGAAGGTGCCCTGTTCGGTATGGAAGGTTGTTTTTGCTTCCTCTTCTCGCTTCATTTGCACCTGGTGATAGCCCTTATATGCATCGAGAAAACATTTGAGTTGGGAACCTTCAAGCGAGTGGACTTTCTGATCGATCTCCGAGAGAGGATAGCAATCCTTTAGACAGGTGTTGTTGAGATGTGAATAATCTATGCACATTCGCCATGCCCCATTGTCTTTCCATACCATGATCGGATTTGCTATCCATGTTGGGAACATTACTTCCCTGAGTATGACAACACTCACTAGGTCGGCTATTACGGTCTTCCGCCTATCCTCGCTTCTTTTGCTTCACAAGGTTACTCCTGGGTGCAATATTGAGGCTGTGTTATATGACCTGTCGATCGAAGCCTGTCAGATCCATTGGCTTCTAGGAAAAAACGGTGTAGTATTGCCTCAGGAGCGCCACTAGACGTGCCTTAGTTTCGTCTATTAGGTGAGCGCCAATTCGCACGAGATGCTCTGGATACTCCATATTTATCTAGTGTTGCTCGGTGGAACTTCCCTCCTTAGACTTCTTTTGTATGCGCACGAGTTATGGGGTGATTATGATTTGGTGGAAATGCTATGCTCTGCTGCTTGTGGCGAGGATCATTGTTGATTGCTGGCGTGTGCTGAATTTAATGATCCTCTATACCACCGATGGTACGAGATGTAGTTATGGAATTGCTGATCACCCAAGTAGAAAGTAGTGTTATGTTGGGTATCGGATCACAGAGAATTCGACTGTCCTTGTGATTTGGTCCCTTTCGTCGTGGCTGACCAACGTTAAGGGTATCCGAACGGTACCTAGTGGCCACAAGCTATGGCCGGTGAATCCTACTAATGGTCCACCAGTTGGGGGTTAGAGCCCTTCCTTCCACATATCAGGTAGTTGCCAGAAACAGTGTTCATAGAGTATATCAGAGCAACTACCATTGTCAATGTATGTTCAGTGGACCTTTGTGTTATGAATGAACCTTAATATAAGGAGTGGGTCTCCTGGATCCCAATTTGATGGTCTGGGATCGTCACTCAAGAAACTGATGTTGAGTAGGTTTCTCGAGAGTCCCTCAATCTTGCTTTCTGCATGGTGAGGTGCATTGCTCTCACGGGTATTAGAGATAGTGAATACCAAAGTGCTGTCAAATGGATTCGTCTGTAACAAATTGGGATTTGATATCTTCATCTGATTTTGTGAGATATCTAATGACAATTGTCGGAAACTGATCTGGTGGCCTGGTTCTACTCTTCTTACCGTGAATGATTGGATTTGTGTTATCATTACCTAGGATGGTTCGTGTGTTTTGAATAGATCTTCTACTGCCATTCCAAGTACTTTTGGGCTTAGATCCCTCTTATAGAGAGAACCGGTGTTGTCTATTGGTTGTATCAATCTGAGGATACGTCCGGATGGTGCCAAATGTTGTGACATGTTGACTGATGGTTTGGATGCTAAATGAAGGATGCGACTGGAGTGCTTTCCTGAGAACACAATCACTAGAGAATCATTAGAGGACGACCGAGTGTTCTCCCAGGACGTCACTCCGACGATCAAGTTAGTCTTTTCTGAGTGAGGTAATTTTAGGGTAAACTTTGTGAGAGAGAGGATGGATCCCTCCTTCAAGGTGGAAGAGATCATTTATACATGTTACTAACGGATCGTGGGTACCGTGCTTTGTGAGCATGAAACATGGCCTCCTCTCACGGGGAGAGCTACTCATGCTAACTATCTATCAAGTGACATTAGTTATGGGCATCACTCGGGCTATTTATTGCCTTCTCATTGGTTGTAAGCGAATGAGAATATCACATGGAATGTTCTTACCGTGTGATTATAAATAATTTGCATCCCTGACCTTGGCTTTCTTAGGCCAAGACCAGGTCTTAGGTAAGGTAGTAACGTTTCTGTTACATTTTCAGTTACATTTAACGTGTGCTTTAGGTAACGTTAACAGATTCAGATTCGCGAATGTGAACATTGTTCTCATTTCTTCACATAAGGAACAACTTCTCCTTTCTACTACACCATTTTGTTGTGGTGTGTATGGAGACGAAAAATTATGTCAAATTCCTAGTTCAGTCATAAACAAATCTATAATTCTTTTTTTGAACTCTATTCCATTATCACTTTTTATCATCCAAACTTTTCTTTTCAAGCTCAATTAAATGTTCTTGATAAAATCAATCATCAATAACTAGTATATACTTCATCTTATTGAGTGACTCAATAGTCGAAGGTCCACATAGGTCAATGTGAAGAAGTTCCAATGGTTCAATGATCTTTGATCCAATTATGATTACAAGACCTTGACGATGTTGACTTCCCTGTTCACATGTTGCACACAATGAATCATTGTCAAATTTCAAAATAGGTAAACCACGAATAATATCATTAAGAAAAAGTTTATTTAAATTCTTGAAGTTAAGATGAGTAAAACTTCGATGCCATAACCAACTAATATCTGAAGATGCTTTCGATATCAAGCACACAGAAGGTACACCTACAATTGGTTTCATGTCGATAGTGGACATGTCTCCCTTTTGTTTTGAGGTTAGCAAAACCTCCTCCATTTCATTGTTTGAAATTGTATTACCTTCCTCATAAAAAAGAACTTGATTACCTTTTCCGACAACAAGTTGCGAAACACTAATAAAATTATGCTTCAATCCTTCAACATAAGCAACACGATTCATCATGAATTTCCTATTCATTAATTTTTTTATAGCCTTTGAATTTACACTTTTGATTATTTCCAAATTCTACAACCCCAACATTCTCTAACTTTCAAAAGTATCTCAATTTTTCTTTCCTTCCATTCATGTGACGCGAGCATCCACCATCGATATACCAAATTTCATCATATTGCTCCTCAGATAGTACCTGCAGTCCTAGGGTGTCTTGACTTATTTATTAGTTGTTTATAGACTAATTTGTTACATATATGTGAAATTGTATGTTAACTAGGATCATAGAGTGTGTTCAAGACTTCACTTGACACCTAGCGGTCCTACCTCTTCAGTTCATCCGTATCACCCACAACAGGTGAGTTCATACCCCTTAATCAATGTTTTAACAGTTTTTAAATGTTTTATGGGGGGGGGGGGGGATACAATTATAATTATGCTAATTATTATATCAATCATATGTGATTAATAAGTAGCATTCAAATGATTGGCTATTCATTAGCCGTTTTACTGAACAGTTTCCTTCAAATGATTTTTATAAACATTTTATATGTTTAAAACTCCTTATTACACTGCACATTTTACTCCGTATGTTTTATTTCAAACTTATTTACAATTGTGATTCAAACAAATGTTTCCTTATAATAATTTTTTTTATCCAACCCATGCCTTCAAACCGTTTTATAGATTGACATGAAGTCAATCTTTTCTTAAGATAATAATTATGTTCAAAGGTTTTACAAAACTTATTTATGCTTTTATATTATAAATTGCATGCCTCTATATGTATAGTTATATAAGAAATGTTTAAAAGACTTAGGAAGTCTATCCACCCTATTTCCTTTTCGTGCTTGAGATGTGGTCTGGTGGGATATCGGGTACTCGTCCGAAGGTCGTTTAAATATTAGTTATATAACATATGTACATATATAGTCATAAAGGTCCTTCCAATTCATCCAATGCCCTTGGGTAGCAAGGGTATACATCCATGTTCATACGTACCAGTTAAATTACTAGTAAACTACCATATGGGTAGTTTAGGAAGATACTAGAACTATTACTAGAACGCGATATAATACCATGAGTCAGTTCATTCATGAGTCAACTATACTAGAAAGAGAACATATACAACTATACTAGAAAGAGAACATATACAACTATACTAGGAGAGAACATATACAACTATACTAGAAAGAGAACATATACAACTATACTAGAAAGAGAACATACTATACTAGAAAGAGAACATATAAAATGATACTAGAACGAGTACATTACTATACTTGCTAGGTAGAGAGCACATACATTACAGCTAGAACAGTTCTCTACATTACATATACATGAATACGTTAATTATTGTGATATGAATCGGAGCATGACTTAAATGTCATGGCCCGTGTTGTAGCCAGAGTCTCTTGAAGGGAGAGCGTGAGTTTGCATATAAATCTATACTTGATTGACTATCCTACACCTTGCTGCTAGCTACAACCGGACCTGCAGGTCTGCGGGTGCCAAATGTCATACATTTTTACGACCATTCTTATGTCATTGTTACCAGTCAATAATATGGTACAATTAATCACATGATGCCTTAATATAAATCCGGTTTAAGGTAGTTAGTACAGCAGCAGTTCTTATAGCGCTACATTTTAGTACTACATTAATTTTCCATGTACATATATTTAGTGATCTATTCACTTAAACTATAAATGTAAAAACTATATTTTGTTAATGATAGTTACACTTGGGAAAATTTCACACTTTTAAATAAAACGAACATTTAGAACAGTTAAGTCTTGGTAGAAGACTACATTGAGAACAGTTAGGTCTTGGTAGAAGACACCCTTATATAATAGTAGGAATCATAGGGATTTCTAAAGTTTTTCAAACGTTTACAGTTGTTTTACAAACATTTTTATACTTATAGTTCATAAACTTACAAATTCTAACATACAAATTAAGACACTAAAATACTTATGATCTCACGAGCTTCAAAGCTGATACTCGCTTTCAAAATTACTTGTATCCTTAGGTCATTATAGACAGGTACCGATGCAAGGAGAAAGGAAGATGGAGCTCATTCAAGACTCCTCTTTCATTTTGATTTATGCTTTAGTGCTTATCAAAATTTGACAGAACAATTGTATAATAATTTTATTATTAATGCAATGGATGATGTTGTTGCTTGTTTACTACTTTTCATTGTTGTGATACTGTACATGACATCCTCCGCCCCATAACGTTTCCGCCGTTCTTGGTTTTGGGGTGTGACAGATTGGTATTAGAGCATTGTTTATAGTGAATTAAGTATATCAACCCATAAAAGATATACAAAGTATAAACCCAATTGGGATTCAAACACTCTGACCAAGATTTTATACTTTAAATAATAAAATAATTAATTAAGTATACGTGTTGAATTCATACTAAAATCAGTGTCACTAGGACAGTACAAAAGAATTACGATTGTTGGGCAACACAGGTGGACTTAGAGACATATAGTAAACACTAGGAAGATATAGCCTGATCACCTATATTATCCGAGGGTTGAC